TATATTGCGAAGTACTACGCCAGTAGGGTTTTGCAAATATTACGATTAGTAAATATTGCGAAGTACTACGCTAAAAATATAAATATCGCGTAACCTTACGCCGTAATATTTGCATAAGTTTACAAATCGTAAATCTTATGCAATACTTCACATTAAAAATATTCCTGATGTAATTATAGTAAAAAATGATGATCTTTATAGCTAAAATTGATCCTTTTATTTCAATTCTGATAGTGAACTTAAAGGTCTAATTAGAGTCAATCCTGATGAATATAGTTTATAATAACCTTTGAAAAGATATATATATAAGGTATAGAAAATTTGATTAGCTCCAAAATCTTTGATCGATTGATTGATTAGTTTCAGTAGGTTATGATCAATCAAAGATTGATTATTATATTTAATTGAAAGTTTTGATCAATTAATGCTTGATTACTCTTTTGATTAATCAATATAGTAATTAATAATTAGTCGATTAAAAATTAATTTTATTAATATTAATAATTAATCATATAATAAAATTATCTAAATATTAACTTAAAGAGATAAAAATAAAGAATTTATATTTTTGTTATAATATTTAGTAAATATTTATAAGTAATAAACTCAAATATTTTTAAAGATCTATTTCTTTAAAAACTTATCAGTTAAATTAATTCCTAGATCTGCATAAATAGAATATAAATGCATAGTTATGGCAAATTCTATATATAGATAAAGATAAATAGGAGTATTACGTTAAAATCTTTTATTTGATAAAATTCTAGTATTGAATTTGAAATTTATTTATTTAAAATGAATTGACATATTCCATATTTCTTTTTAAGAAAAGTAATTCATTAACTGTTTCTGGCTTTAATCTATTTCTTTTAGAAGTTATTTGGTTACCTGCATCGCTAAACAACCTTTTACTTAGTGTAAAAATTGCCAAAATTCCTAAATATTTACAAGCAATTTTGAATAATATAGGAAAATTTTTCCTATTATCAAGACCATTGGAATAAATCAATGTCAAAAATAGCTTAAGACGTTCGAATATTATTTAAATAATAGGATATTTCATCATTTATTAATGGTGGTATTTGAAAAGAAAGACTAAAAATCTTACTCAAAAAAGATTAAGTGCTAGAAGGTTGAATAACTTCTTGTGGAATTTGTTCAAAATAATTCATCATTTTTAAATTCTTTATATTCTTCATTTAACAGATTCTTTACTATTGTTTGTAATTCAAAGACTATTTATACATTACTTTAAACCTAAGATCTAATAAATTTGCCAATAAGATAGAAGTTGGTAGGTTATTTCAATAGTCAAAAAAAGAATTATAAAACCCTTTTTTAACCAGATTAATTATGGGTTTAATATCATTAGATGATAATGATGTAAGTGGATCTTCAACGTTATCAAAATAATCTCTCACAAATCTTCTTCATTTGAATCCTCTTATAATAATAAATAAATTTGTAAAATTTAATGTTAAAATTTACCAGAAAATAATTAAAAACTGAATACAGAATTACAGATTGTATTTTATTATTATTTATTACCATTATTTTTGTTATCATTATCATTAGTTTCATCATATAAATTTGGAGTATATTCATATTCAAGTATTTGAATTGTGAAAAAAATTAAAGAAAGCATGCTGTATTTTTGACCTCCTAAAATTTCTGTTGTACTTTCAATTGGAATTAAAATTTTAATTAATTCATCAAGTAATTTTCATTCATTGTCACTAAGCATTAAATTTATTAATCATTGATAGTCTTTTTTAGCATCACAATCAGTTTCTAGAGCAAGTGTTACATAAATACATTTTATTATCTTTTTTAGTATTTTAATCGTTTTCAGAAAGCTAATTTTGATTTTTAACGTGTTGGTACTTCTATAATTGTTCAAAGAATTTTTAAAGGCTTATTTGAACTTTCTCCATTACTTTGATCATTATTTTTAGTAGAAGATGTGGTATTACTAGTAACTCCTTGTTTTTCTTGTCGAATTATTATTTCTTTTTGAGCATCTTCTAATCTTTCCGTTTGCTTAAGTGATTCAAAAAATTGATTTAATTTAGCATATCTTCTAAAATATAGCTTAATTTTTTTAAGTCCTTTAAGTATATAGAGTTAAAGTGTATGAGCTGAACATGATACCTATTCTACACTATTCCATTCTCTAATTACATTTACTATATTACTTCTATTGTCAGTAATTGCTACTATTACTTTTTTTCTAATCCTAATTTTTTTAATTTATTTTGAATTATTTCACGAATGTGTTCTTTAGTATATAGATATAAGATTTGTTCTACACATAATAATATGTCATATAATTTCATATCTTGAGTTAACCAATAACATGTTATATCAATATATCCATTTTTAGCTCTTGATATTCAAAGATCTGTTGTAATTAATGCATAATCACACATCTCCTTAATATAAGTTTTCATTAATTCAATTGCTATTTTATATTCAAGTCTAATTTTTTATTTTAAAGTTACATAGCATGGTAAATTAAATGCGACATTGATTTTATTCATCATTCTTTTAAAGCCTTCTCCATCTACTATATTAAAAGGTAATCCATCTATTACAAGCCAATCCACTACCACTTTATGCAATTATTTTTATTTTTCATTTTTATATGATATAACCTTTTTAAGTTGTTCGTCAATTTTTAATTGCTAAAGTAAATTTAATATATAATTAATAAAAAAATTATAAAATTTTTTTTTTGATATTTATCTCTGTTATTTTTTTATTTTCATATTCTTTATATATAGTATTAATATAATATAATATACTGCTAATTTAAGTTTTATAAACACAACTGTATTCACATTCCTTATTATTATTACTACTTTTATCTACATATTTACAATAAGCATGACCATCAGTTTTAACTTAAAAAAACTTTTAAACAAAACTTATTTTTCTGGTATTAGAAACCCATTTTGGTTCTTCTTCTGGTATAATTATTACTTTGAATTACTAGTAATACGTTATCTTTTAGTTAAATCTGAAGTTTCTTTTCCTTTAATACGCTTATTTGAACCTGAAATACTTGTTATTTTGAATAAGATTTTTTTTAAACAAAGAAAAAATAAATTTAAAAAGGAAATTTTTTTGCATTGATAATATCTATATGAAGATCTAGATAATCTAAAAAATGAAGTTAATTGATCAAATTATTTATACTGTATTGATTGATTAATTTTAATTGATTAATTAATTAATTATGATTGATTATATATTTTAATCAATCAAGTCTGATCAAATCGTAAGTATTGTGATCAATTAATTAATCAACCTAATCAATCATCGATCAAAATTAAATCGATTAAATACACTAATAAAGTAGATTACAGTTAATAATAAGTAGCTAAGACCTAAGTTAGATTTTCAGAAATAATAATTTTTATGTATATCTATCTTATAAAATAAGTTACAGCATATCTTTAACATTTTAAAAAAAATTATAACATTATTTTTATAAATAACTCTATTTTGAACTTTTATTTTCTCTTAATTTCTTTATAAGATAAAAATAAATTAAAAAATTGATTTTTAATATATTTAATAATGATGAATTATTATTAAATCAATATTTAATATAATTTTTTATAAAAAAAAAAAATAGATCAATTGTTAATTTATTAATAAAGAAATTATCCTTACTTCTATATCATTAATATTTTATAATATTAAAATTAAATATTAAGATTCACAATATTTTAATTCCAATACATTTTATTAATTTAAAATTTAAGATAAAATAGAATTATTATCAACATATTTTAACTAGGTAAATTGTAAAAATCATTGAATATGAATCTGATGATAAATATTAAAAAAATTTATTTATTATCTTAGAGTTTTATAAAAAAATACACAAATCATTAAAATCTGATATAAATTCTTATGATAATTCTAAAATAGAAACTGGTCAACTTTTAAAATCTATAAATTTTACTATTAAAGAAGATAATATTAT